GTATGTTCGCAAAATTTGAATAGGTTGGCGTCGCGTGGCACCGACGCTGTAAACAAGCCACCAGACCCTAGACATGAAATAACTGAACTATTATAAATAACCAATTTTTATTTTCCCATACCATGACACAAACCCGCCAAGCCAGACATGAAAGAGCTGAACGAACCGACCTTTTATTTTCCCATACCGTAGCATAAACCTGACAAGCCAGACATGGAAAAACTGAACTAACCGACCTTTTATTTTTCCCATACCGTAACACAAACCCGCCAAGCCAGACATGAAAGAGCTGAACTAACCGGCCTTTTATTTTCCCATACTGTAACATAAACCTGACAAGCTAGACATGGAAAAACTGAACTAACGGACTTTTTATTCCCATACCGTAACACAAACCTGCCAAGCCAGACATGAAAGAGCTGAACTAACCGACCTTTTATTTTCCCATAAAGTAACACAAACATGACAAGCCAGATATGAAATAACTGAATTCAACGAAATACATTTCCAGACGCTTACCATTTTTTTTTTTTCACAGTTGAAAACGCAAAAGTAAGCAAGAGTAGAAGGTTATTGGCCACCTTACACACCAACACGAAAACGGAAACGAAGCATAAATATAGACACAGCAATCCTTTTGGTCAACTGTGCGATGCACATGAAGGTTGGGGACTCGTGGTGAGATAACTGTAAAACATTACCGGTTCCCATGGGGCGGTGGGAATCTGGTCAGACACTATCCTGAATTCTCCGCAAGGAGAGGGGTGGATAATGCAAGACAAAATGTCAGACCTAACATACTCAAGAACCTTGCTTTCCAATGACCGACCAAATGACCCAAAAGAGAAGGAGCACCAAGCGGTACATAGATATCTTGAAGCTTGAAGGATAGACGCCGGTACAAAGTGTGGGGGGATTGTTGGTCAAGCTTTCGGCAGCGAAGGTCTACTCGGGAGCGTTAGTGGGGTAGCTACCCATGGTGTACCGTACAAACGTTGATGACCGTAACTCATTTATCAACCCTGGGTCGACTTAGACCGCCGTCAGGGAAGATAGTGCTCTCTGGCGTCTACGAGGAGGAGATTTTTATGTTTGTATGTCATAAAAATCAAGGAAGTGACGGACATCCCGATGTGTGAGTGAGACCTTCTGTTATGCAAGCCACCCTTGAAGCCTACATGACCTCCCCGGAGGAAAGAACCCAGTACAGCAGCTGGGGCAAGTAGAGAGAAGATACGGTTATGGGACGCTTGGGTTGGTTACCATGCAGATCGCCTGGCACAAACTTGGGGTACTTGTGCTAAGGGTTTTGAACTTGGCTCCAGGCTATGA